CAACAGATGACCAGGGCACAGCAAACCACCTTTGGTTACCTTGACCCGGGCACAGCAAAAGCACTCCACGGGGTTTGGTTGTCGTGTTGGATCCGTGACCAGGGCGCAGCAGATGACGAGGGCACAACAAAAAGCACTCCATTAGGTTTGGTTGTCGTGTTGGACACGACGGTCACAGTGTGCAGAAAGAGATACAAGGACCATTTCAACCCACGGACATGCTAAATGTTGACGTCACCAAGACGCAACACAATGACAGAGTGATCGTGACCGTCGATTTATAAACATCAACCGTTCACAGCACAATCTTCAGAGAGAGAGATGTGGCGGGATGATTACCTGGGCAAAGGACCACGGTCGAGTCAACCATATCACTGATTTGCGCAGTAGCAGCTTCGAGCGGCGATTCACGCAGTAGCAGCTCTGCTTGCCCCGCAACTTTGCTTGCCCCGCTTGCAGCAGCTCGGCCCGCCGCACCGCACAAAAACCGCGCGCGCTCCAAAAACACGAGTCGAAGTACCCCCCCTCAGGAAATGAAACTATCGGCATCAGTTGGCCTACTTCCCGTCGGGGGACCGGAACTCGACGCCCCAATTTTGACGTGGGGGGAAGGTCCCAAACCAGTTGGCCTACTCCCCGCTGGTTGACCGGAACGCTCAATCAACACCGTCAGTCGCTCAGATCTGACGGTCCACGTAGCGCGGGAGGGGACATTTTCCGGAGGAGGGTCGACGGTCCGGTACCGGTTTTCTGGTGCAGGGTCATCAGCACCGTCGGTTCGACACGATCGGACCGCCGACGGAGCGCGTGGAAGGACACGCCGCGGAGTATAAAAAGAGTTGCGGATCCCTCCCGCACTTCTCATTTCATCCTCTCCGACTTTCACGCGGGGTGTTTTCAACGCAGGGCCATATCCGCGTTGCTTTGCCTTCAGCGCAGGGCGCTTACATCGCGACCTTGTGTGCACCCCGGTTGCATACGCGGGCGTCGTGCATGTTTCTCATGCGTGCATGTTTGTTTCTCATAGCTGATGTGGTGGCACAGTCGAAGCACACGTCGGAGCAGGACCAAACCTTACCGTTGGAGCAGACCGTTGGAGCAGGGCCAGCGAGTGGGAGTGAGCGAGAGCGAGACTTTGCACCGACGAGCACGAAGCGAAGGACAGAGTACGGACGGTGAGGATCTGCCCAGATCCGTGAGATTCAACGAGGGCTCGCCACGTGGCACTTTCAGGCTGTGTTCGCCGTTCATTGTCGTGTTGAACACGACGATCACATGCAAAGCACCACAGGTGATCGTCGTGTTGAACACGATGATGGACGGCGGGTTGGGTTTCATATGGACGAGCGCAGGACTGCCCTACGGGTGATCGTCGTGTCGAACACGATGATCACCCGTCGGGCAGTCCTGCGCTCGCCAAGGTATTGTCGTGTTCGACACGACGATCACCTGCCAAGCACGACAGGTGATGGTCGTGTTGAACACGACGATGAACGGCGGGGCGAGGAACATTGAGGGCGAGCGCAGGACTGCCCTACGGGTGATCGTCGTGTTGAACACGACGATCACCCGTAGGGCAGTCCTACGCTTGCCCGACGGGTCACCCAGGTCATTGTCGTGTTCGACACGACGATCACCTGCCAAACACAACAGGTGATCATCGTGTTGAACACGACGATGAACGGCGGGGCGGGGTTCATTGAGGGCGAGCGCAGGACTGCCCTACGGGTGATCGTCGTGTTGAACACGACGATCACCCGTAGGGCAGTCCTGCGCTCGCCCAGGTCATTGTCCTGTCCGACACGACGATCACATGCCAACAGGTGAGGTGATCGTCGTGTTGAACACGACGATGAACGGCGGGGCGGGGTTCATTGAGGGCGAGCGCAGGACTGCCCTGCGGGTGATCGTCGTGTTGAACACGACGATCACCCGTAGGGCAGTCCTGCGCTTGCCCTATGGGTCGCCCATGTCATCGTCGTGCTCGGCACGACGATCACCTGCCAACAGGTGATCTGTCTTTGTGTTGAACAAGACAATGAGCTCCGGGGCGGGCGAAAATCGTTTATTATCGTGTTGGACACGAAGATTAGCTGCGGGGCATCGTCGTGTTGAAACCGTCGGGCAGTTGTGGTTTACTTTTCCACCCCGCAGCTCATCGTCGTGTTGAACACGACGATGAGCTGTGGGCCGGAAATCATTCATTGTGTTGAACACGACAAATAGATGCGGGCTGTGTGTGTGCATTTGCTGATTTTTTCAATTTGGCGTGCAGGGCGTTTGCCGATCGCGATGGCAATCTCGAAGTGGATGACCCCGGGACTTTGGCGCGAACGCATTGCGTACCCTTTCCCCCCATGCTCGCTGCGTGTCTCAGGGTGTCGAGAGTTCACTGTCATTGACGGTGCGACGAGAAATGATTTCGAGAGTGATCCGAGGATGACGGTCGTTCCGTTTTACACCACTCCCGTCGACTTGTGGCGGGAGTACGTTTGGGAGAAAATGGTCGAGGACTGCCCTTGGGCGGACGACTACAAATTCGCGAATATGTGTGAGTTCGGGAGTTTAATTCTTGTGCCCGCTGCTGTGCTATGTTCAGTTCAGTGCCGTCACTTGAGTGCCACGATGCTGTTTAACCGTCGGTACAATGTTTTGGACTATAACGTCGTGACTACTTCACCGCGCACATGGCCCCGTTCGCTGAAACACAAGTTGCTCGCCTGTGCAAGCCATTCCGATTTCATCGACGCATACCCCTTGCGCTCTCCCGGGTTGTTGCCTCGAACGGTTTCGTATTGTTGCGTTAGACTGCGTCTTGGGAAGTGCTTTTGCTGTAGAGTCCTTTGCGTCGCATGCTCGAACCGGGATGGGACCTTAACTGACGCTGTGGTCTACGTGTCCAGGAATGAATTGGACCTGGGTGACGAATAGCATGCCCGGACTGTGGGGAGCGGTCAAGGGTCTGGTGGTGGTCCGAGCGGTCGAGGGTCTGGTGGTGGTCAGCGGACCCGCACACAAGATACAGTGCGGCAGGCAGGTTCGGGGGAGAGGTTTGTGCATGGACAGACAAATAAAGTTCCCGTCATAGACTGTAAAGATAAATTCTGGATGTTGGACTGGGTGGGCGAGGCGGGGCAGGCTGGAAGTGGTTTGATGTTGTACGTGGTGTTCAGAGAAGATATTAGACCGATAGGTGGTATTCAATCTTGGGCAGGGAGGGATGGTCAGCTCGCCACACGACGCCACTTTCGAGTTAACTATGCAACTCAACGGCAAAGGCCACAGAGTTGCAGAGACGAACCATGTTGTTCTCATGTAGAGAAACCACAAGGGATATGGTAAGTCACTTGTGGATGTTTTCAATCCTGATCCGGATAGCCGACTCCGGTGACCTGACCTCCGCCAAGTTCTCGCGTTCTTCGACACGAATTCGGTGGAGGGCCATCGTCTGGTGGCCCACAAAGAAGACACTATTACGGAACCGAAAAGTGTTCTGTCATTGGCGCGTCCGACTGTGGGTGCCATAACGATTCGGCAGCCATCAGTGACCATGCCCGCCATCCGGGAAGAGAGACAACACGCTCTCGTATCCACGCCGGTGGTCCCTCGAGCGGGACAAATCGCTGCCAAGGGCCCGACTCATGCTCACGCTCCGCCGCCGGCTCTGAAGAAATTCCGTTCGGTTGGAGTGAAAGAGCCGTTGTCCGTGTTACATGACATTGTGCGTACATCAAGCATGTGTGTCGAACCGATGTATGGTGTTGTGCACCGTGGTGTGCAGCCTTTGTATTGCGGTGATCCGGGAGAAGGGAGCAGTGGCGAAGGTTCACAGAGGGAAGAGGAAGAGGAAGAGGAAGGTTCTCAAGAGGGGAATGATAGTGAGAATACAATTAGTAATCGAGAGTGTCGTGGATGGCAATCAAAAAAGATGGGAAGTGACAATTTTGCTCCCACCGGCGTATGGCGCAATCACGATTTTATGCACATGCAGAAAATCAGATCCGAGTGCTGCTTGCTCGACTCAATCCAAATGTTTCTCCATCGAGAGTGGACATAAGGACGAACGAGGTTTTTCAAGAGTTCAAGGCATTGCGAAGACTTGAGTACTTGGAAGAATTTTATGACAGACAAACAAGCCCGACATTTGGATATAACTGGCGCATTGATGAGGGCGACGAGACCGGTGGGAAAAGGGGACAAGGCCCTAGCGGTGGAGCGAGTGGAGAGGGAGGTGAACACCCAAGTGGTGACGAGGGCGGAGGTGACGAGGGAGGATGTGATAAGGGAGGTGATAAGGGAGGGAGTGGTGAGGGTGAAGGAACATCTGAAGCGCCTGGGTACAGTCGGCCAACAACAGACACATCAGAAGGGCAAGCCCATCGTCACCATGAGAGAAGCGCCAGTGGTGTAGGAGGGCACATCGACATTCGTGGTTTGCCGCAGATCAAGCTGTCTACTGCAGTGGAACAGGTTGACGAAGGATGTGAAGGTGGGCAAAGTGTCACCACAATACTCACAGCTGTCACAGTGACAGATAACGCATGGTGTGATGGCAGTGGCGCAAGTGTCTTCCCCGTTGGCAAGAAGGGCAATATTGGTAGCCCACAAGGCCTTATGTGGATGTCTATGGATATTTTGCCATATGGGTTGGGAAGCCAAGGGTGGCTCAGAGCATCATTGGATAAAACCATGTATCTGGCGGAAACGGAACAGCAACTTGAGGCTCACACTCCACTTGATGAAGAGACACTCAGAGGCGACTTAGAGATTCCTGCAGAATTTCAAAGTCCGATATCAGAGGAGAAGGCACAACGAGGGTCTCAGGAGGCGGGTACTGTAACAGGCCACCAGGAGGAAGCTATGCTTGCGGAGGAGATGGAACCGGGCGGCGAGCCTAACAGTCCATTTCATGAAGACATTCTTGGCAGCGACTTCGATACTGGTACTGGAGGGTCTCAGGATTCGCCTATTGTATTTGATACTGCTGGGAAGAACGACACTCTTGAGGGGCTTGTGGCGAAAGAAGCAATTCAAGTGTCGGACATCGAAGAGGATGAAGGACATATTGTATTGACTACTCCAGAGCAACATACACCTGTGGAGGAAGGACGAGAAAGTACACTTCGAACTCCTGTGCAGCAGTTCAACCCATCTGTCAAAGTGATAAACATCGAAGAATCCCCTTTCACATCAAGACAGTTCGGAGATGCAAAAGAAGACGGTGCTAAAGGAAAAACCGCAGTTAGTCGCCGAGGTGAGCACTTACCTTACGAAGTTAATATATGTGTAATATTGTACCTAGAACGAGAGATGATTTTCCGGTTTTGCATGCTGTTGTGCATTGGAACTGTTCCATATTTATTTGCATATATGTAGTGTACCTTATAGTGCGTCCGAATCGGTAAATGAAACACATGATCGACTTTTAATAGTTTGACTCACAATACTTTAGTGCTACTAATATTCATTTACATTCATGTTGTTTTAATGGATTTGTAATGATATCAAAATGATTGTTACTCATATTACTCGTTACTATCGGTGATGATTGTGCTCTCTACATTGATGAACGTGCAGGCCTGCGTAAAGGACTGTGGAAAGCCCCTTGCGTGCACTCGCAAAGGAACAGTGATAAGAAAATTATACGTCGTGGTTTGCAAGCCTTGTCAACGCTGCCGTTGTTACCCAAAACAGTTAAAAAACGAGCGCAACATGTGACGATCCCGTTTGTGAGGCCAGCTGCTCTAAGGATGTTTAAAGTTTTGGGAATATGGACGAAACAAGGGAAGAAATTGCACCGTGAAGTTTGCACTGTATCTGTTGTGGAAAGCGGCAGTGACAACGAAGTTGACAAACAAGCACCGTCATGAACTTCATGTCCGCTTCTTATATCTATTTTCAGAAAGGCACTACTGGTATGGAAGTCTTAGACATACCGCTGTTGTTTACCTGTGTGTTTGTATGCAGTGCCTGACCAATCGTTCAAGATTCCTCTAGCAATGCAACCCCTCACTGAGGTCGAGATGCAATATGTTGAAAGGGTTGTGAGGACCGGTGAAGAAAACGAAGAATACGACATTGTTGTTTACAAGGGTGACTTGAAGGTGAAAAAGAAAGACATTATGTTCATCATTGGAGCAAGGGGATGGTTGAATAACGGAGCCGTTAATTTGTATTTGCTGGCAATCCAGATCGACAATGATAATGCAAAGAGAATTTGATGTCTAGAGGACAGATTAAAGACGAAAGTCCGAAGGACATTCCATCTGTGTATATTCTAGATTTTTTTTTCTATGTCAGGATGACATCCGCGACGTGAAGAGAAATTGCTTACTGTCAGAGAATGAAGTGGGTTAGGGGAAGAAATATTTTCGATTATAACTTTGTACTTATCCCTTTGAACTTTGGAGACCACCGGGCTTTGGCATGTGTTAGAATAGACGGTTGCAAGTGTGAATTCCAACTATTAGACTCTCTCCCTCGCGGCGACCGCCTGTCAGCGCCGGAAGTAGTAGCCGCATTTTTTAGAATGGAGTTCAGACGTCAGAATCTTCATGAAAGATATCAGGTCGACGAGCTTGCGACACCTTTCGAGACATCACTTGATGGGGTGCCTGTCCAACATGACGGTTGCAGTTGTGGTGTTTTTATGTTAGGTTTTGGATTTTTGTTAGCGAAAGGTCACTTTCCACCATTCGATTTCTCGCAAGAGAACATCTCGTATATGAGGCAGAGAATAGCATTTGACATTTTGTCAATAGTCGAGCATGAGTAAACATTCCAAATATGCAGAGTTTGATATCATTCAACAATTTGTTGATGGTTAGTCACAGTTTCAAGTGCTATGTGTCATTCGACACTTTGTTCATAGTTAAGAATAGTCTCAATAGTTTGTGTGTCATTGAACACTTTCTTGATAGTTAACAATTGTTTCTATGGTTCATATTGCTTTCCACAATTCTCAAATGTTATTGTGCAAATGACATATTGCTTTCTGGAATTTCCAAATTTTATTGTGCGAATGACGTATTTCTCAATTGCCAATGTTAAGTTCTCACCATTTCGCCTTGTTTCATCGCTATTTTTCTCATTTCTTCCTCTCTTATATGTGTTATTTTACACTTGAAAAAAAAGTGAACATGAAAACAATTTCACTTTTAACGAAAACACCGTTTTGTGTATTTGTTTTTTTTTTCCCTTCTTTCTTTTTTTGTGTTTTCTCAAGTGTGTCGTTCCTAGGGAAGCGGAACCCGGCCTTCGCGCAGCGACCGGGCCTTCCCTTGGCCGACCCCCCTAGCGCTGCAACGCATATACGGGAGTGCCCGCGACCGATAGCTGAGCGACGTACTGGTGGTTTAAGGGGGAAGCGCCGCGGCCGATAGCTGGGCTAAGTACTGGTGGTTTAAAGGCCCGTTGCTCAGTGTTCAGATTGGAAGATGAATGCTAGGCGAGACATACATTGAGGGGTAACCGTTTTTCTAACAATCCCACATACTGGAAGATGAAATCAGGGTGACACATACATTGAGTGATTATAGCCGAGCCGCCCTCTGACACCCCCACATAGGAGTGCATTTCTCAGATGAGGGAATCACTCAATGCATGTGTCATACAATCAGCTATGGCATCGATGACCCTCACAGAGTAAACTTCTGTTACCTTCTTCCCCCGAATACAACGTACGGTCATTATAGTTGTATTTCCGTCATCTTTCAGTCTAAGAAACGACTATAATGCTAGGGAGATATCACGGGCACCCGGGTCCCGACGTCACGCCCGGTTTGGCGACCTGGTGACCGGCCGGGCATGGGCCCGGGCAACCCCAGTGCAAAAAAAAAAAAAAAAAAAAAAAAAAACTCCAAAAAATTTTGAAAAACAAATATGTTGTGTAGAATTGCAATACAAACAACATTTTTTTACTTTTTTATTTTAATACAATACAGACAACTTTTGACTGAGGGTCACATCAGAATTCCTCACGGAACTGAAGATAAAAAAAAATTAAACCCCTTTAGCCCCTTTAATACTAAGCATAATAGTGTGAGCCCGGAATAATCTGCGGAATCCTACGCTAACTAAAGTCCTAAAGAAAATTCAAAATTCCGATTACGTGCGAGTATTGCCGCGTGGCTGACAAGAATTCAAAATTCGAACATCCACCCATGCGATCGTCGCGCCGAAAAGGTTCCCATCAGCCATGCGAAAGTTCGAGCAGAAGAAAAAAAAACGTCAGAATGTTTTTTTCCGCACTCGCTAAAGCACGTCCTAACTGGCGAAATGAAAGAAAATCAGCCTCAAGTTGCAAAAATGCCCTTCCTACAGGGCAATTCAGGCGATCATGAAAATTGTTGTGAGAAGTTTAGAAGATGAAGGGGCAACAAAAGAATCAGCCCCATAATCATTCACAGGCCCATTTCGAGCCCACGACCGGCTGCACTCAGCTGAAAATTGCGCACATGCAGAAAGCGGGGCAATCCCAGGGAGGATGGGGGAAAGGAGGAGGACAATGAGGGGGGTCAGACAATTTAGGAGACGACGAGGGAGGAAGTGGAGACGAGGAGGGGGGAGGGGGATGTAGAGGAGTAGAACAAGTCGGACAACTCCGTGCTATGGATAAGAGGGCGATACAAGGGTATTGCACACAGGGGAATTCAAATGGTCAAACCATGGAGCACAGTTCTTTGTTATGGCTCAGGGCATACCGAGAACTTGGAGACACAAACAGGGTGTTGTACAAAACCTGAACTTTGCTTCGTACCACAGGAAATGTGACAGGTTTCAGGGCCATAAGACAAAATTTGCGCCTTTCCCCCCATCAAGAAAAGAAAAACGGCCTGAGTTGTCAAATAGACCGACCCCCCACCAATGTCGCCTATGCAGTTTTGTGGGGCTTGTGTACAGCTTGACTTGGTTCTCTTATTATTGGGGAGATTATGTATTCAATTTGTAATATGAGCCTTGGGCACTGGGCCCCCACGTAAAAAAAAAAAAAAAAAAAAGAAAAAAAAAAAAAAGATTTTGTTGGGGTTCACCTGTGGGGGTTACAAAGACCACCCAAAAAGAGGATAGAAGGGCCACCCCTACCCTACCCCCCCATCCCTTGCCGCCCACCCCAAGAAGAAAAGGAGAATAGAAGGCACTCGCATTCGCCGGTCTTATGTTGGGAGGAGAAGGGAGAAGAAGTATGCCGTAGAGTTTTTGCGCACGACCTAATTTAAACCACCAGTTCAAGCAACCTTACGTCGAGGAAGCTACCTTTCAGAGGTTGCGAGTGACTAATTGTTTTTCTTCGTAGTGCACTTCTGCATTCAACACCGACCCAAGTCCAAAGCGGCATGGCCCTACCACGTAAACTGGTTAGGGCCCAACTTAGCTCCAAGGGAACTGGTGTTTTAAGGATGCGTTTGTGGGCTACAAGCTGTTAATCGCCCCAACGTTTCCAAGATTCAGCAGCACCCGTAAGACGTTTTTTTTTTTTTTTTTTTTTTTTTTTTTGAAGGCCAAGTAGCCCAACCCAATCCAATCTTTTGTCGAATCTGACAGGTTCGCCTTTTAGGCACTTTTTATCATTATTGCCGTTTTACGGGGAACCATGTAGCAGCCACAGTCGTGTGCATGAGAGAACATGTGGGGGGCTGCGCCGAACCTGTAGATGGGCGGTATGGGAACGGGTGGTCAATAATGATAGGACTGATTATTGGCCAGTTGCTGCACCTCCCCGTCCCCTCCCCTTCCAATTAGACTTACCGTGAGGGCACGGGTGCGCAGCCCGTAGTTTGTCTGTTGATGTGGTTTGTTATGTTCACAATTAACAACTCCAAGATTGTGTGTGTGTGTGTGTGTGTTGTGTAACCGGATGAACGCGCTGAACGCGCGTCCACGTTCAAACGTGCACGTTCATACCCCCCGGGGCTGCGTTCAATCGTGTTCAAACGCGCTGCGCGCCACGTGGCGCCAAAAAATTGAACGCGACCCCGGAGGGGGCGCGCGCGTTGCGGACTACGGGGTGGAGGGCCTCGTTCATCAAACCACGAAAGTGCGAAAAAAAAAAACCCGGAGGCCCGCCACCCCTACCGCATCACCCCCCACCACATGTGAATGCTCCTTTTTTTTTCGGGGGGGGTGGGGGAATCCCCCTGACACGGCTCAGACGGCCCATACAGGCTATCTGAAGGGTCCTCGCAGCCATGTAGCACAGAACCCCCACCAAAATCAAGGCAGGCAGTGAATATGAAATAGAGCACGAGTTGGCCGAATATATACTCAAGATTCGGATTCAGGTCTGTGTTTCAGCAGTTATGGGTTGCTCATGTAGTTAGGCCGTGTTGGTCTATACACGTGATTCTCAGGGTTTGGCTGCACTACTCACCAAATGTGCAAAACTAGAATGAATCTTATGCAGAACATGGAATAATACGCCGCCA